TCTCAGAAGATGCCATCGAGGAAGAAGGTGAAGAAGAGGGAGGCTCCCCTAGGAGCTCATCGGAAATGTCTAAGCTCAGTTCCAAGAGTGCGAAGGAAAGACGGAACCGGAGGCGGAAGAGGAAGCAAAAGGAACTCTCTGAAGGAGAGGAGAAAGGGGATCCTGAGAAGGTGTTCAAGTCCGAGTCGGAAGACGGGATGAGGAGGAAGGGCATTCGGCTGCCAGACAACAGGATCGGGAGGAAATTTTCCATCATGAATCAGGTAAACTCTCTGTGCTGGGTCAGACGGCTTAAGAAGTTCTGGTTTTCCTGATCTCACTTCATTCTCGTATTCCTCTTTGGCTTTACATTTTCCAGACCCATCCCTGCCTCCTAGGGCCTGCCTCCCCATGCTCCCCCCGGTTGTTCTCTTCTGGGAGGAAGAGTTACCGGCATGTTAGGACCATTGCTGTTCAAAGGCAGCCTAGGACGATGTGACGACCTTTGGCAGACGTACTGCGGCGGAAAGCCTGTCTCCTCAGCGAGCCTGTGTTCTAAAACATCAGGCAGAACTGTTCCCCTCTTAGCATCTGAACATGCGAATTTAGCACCAACACCCCTGTTAAAGAATTGCATGTAACTGTAGATTTAAAAATGTGATGAAACTCTTTAGGTCGCCTTATTGGAATGTGGCGAGTTCTAGTAATTATTCTAGATACATAGTGTCACGCTGATAAGTCAGCCCATGGTAGGTTAAAAGCCTCCACGCTACCCAACTTTGGTAAATGGGGAAAACGAAGAGAAAGAGAGGGGGGAGCACTTATGGATAATTATTGAGCATTACAGTAAATATCACATAACATTTTTTATTTCAAAGAACACCAGCCACTAAAATCCAATTTTTAGGCCATTTAATTCCCCATTTTAAAGAAATGCTGGAAAGTTTGTAAGGTATAGAATAGATTACAGTTATTGGTTATGGCATTGTATCCAGTGTCTTCCTGTTTCCCAGGTTTGATTCATTACTTTTTTTGTTTGTTAATCCTCACCTGAGGATATTTTTTCCATTGAGTTTTAGAGAGAATGGAAGGGAAGTGGGGGAGGGAAGAGAGAGAGAAATATTGATGTGAGAGAGACACATCCATTGGTTGCCTCCTGATCGTGCCCTGACCAGGCAGGGATCAAACCTGCAACTGAGACATGTACCCTTGACCAGAATAGAATCCAGGACCCTTCAGTCCATGGGCCAGCACTCTATCCACTGAGCCAAACCAGCGAGGGCAAGGATATGCTTATTGATCATGGAGAGAGAGGAAGGGAAGAGGGGGACAGAGACAACAGAGACAGAGATCGGTTGACTCCCACAGGCACCCTGACTAGGGATTGAACCCAAAACCCAGGTATGTGCCCTGACTGGGAATCGAACCTGCCATCTTTTTGGTGTACAGGATGACGCTCCAACTAACTGAGCCACCCAGCTGGAGCCATTGTGTGTCTTTTTTGCACCCCTCTCTTCCCAGTTCAGTCTTTTGCTAGTCCTGTTCATTTTATCATAACAGAATCTCACATGTCCATTCCCTTCTTATTCATCTGATCTTATTTCAGACTTGTATAATTTTGTTCTTCTACAGTTATCCACCACAGTTTTATTCCCTCTGGTCCTCCCCCTGCTTTGTGTTTTATATACTGTCAGCAGATGGCTTCCTAAAACATAGCTCTCATTACTCACGGAGTGCCTGCCATGTGTCAAGGATTATGCTAGATCCTAGAGGTTAAAAGATGATTCAAATACCATCCCTGTCCTAAAAGCTTACAGTGTAGTGGACCAGCCCGACACATTAAAAAGTTACTTACATAATAACATTGATGGCAATATTTCATAACTGAGATATGCTGGCTTATTTTGGAGGACACAGATCTACCCCAACCCAGAGGTTCAGCGGAGATTTTCAGGTGATGTATGTGTGTGTTGGTGAGGGAGCAGTTAAGAAGAAAGGGCATTTGAAGAAAAGTATGTTCCAGTTTGGATATACCTAGTGGAATTATTTGTTGGATAACCAAATAGGGTAGGTCTTTTAGGCACACATACAATCAAATGATAGCTCACTGAAGAGGCGCTAAGCTGAGGAGTGGTGATTGAAATAATGAAATTACTCAAAAATATTGTGTCGAGTGACAGAACAGTGGGCCAAAGACACAACCACTGGTGTCCATGGGCAGCAGAGATGAAGCTCATGAAGGAAAATAAATGAGTGGCCATTAGCGATGCTAAGAGAACCAAGAGTTCAGTGAAGCCAAGAGAACACAAGGGTTAGAGAAGGTAGGGAAGTGATCGATAGATTACAATTTAACAGAGATGCTTCGTGAGATCAGAAGTGGAAAAGTTTGTTGAATTTGGCAATCTAAAGCCCTGAGAACTTTAAAGACACGTTTCAGTCCAGGGTAAGGATGGATGTTATATTGAGTGGGAAATGGAGGCAATGAGCATAGACTTCTCACCCGGGCTTATTTAAAGAAAATGGGTGAGCCGAACCGGTTTGGCTCAATGGATAGAGCGTCGGCCTACGGACTGAAGGGTCCCAGGTTCGATTCCGGTCAAGGGCATGTACCTTGGTTGCGGGCACATCCCCCATAAGGGGCGTGCAGGAGGCAGCTGATTGATTTCTCTCATTGATGTTTCTAACTCTCTATCCCTCTCCCTTCTTCTCTGTAAAAAATCAATAAAATATATTTTTAAAAAAATAAAAATAAAATAAAGAAAATGGGTGAAAATAAGCATTTTTGTAATATGGGGGGAGGGAAGCCCAGAAGAAGGGGAGATGAAGGTAGAAAATGAGGAAGAACAGAAAACAAAATAGAACACAGTCTTGGAAGATGTAGTCTCTAATAGGAAACGGGCTTCTTGTTCCCCAAAACATTGGGAAAATAGGGGCCGTTGGGCGTGGATAAGTTTATAGATAGGGAGTGGGAAGCTGAGGAAGATAATACCTAACAGTCTCTAGTTTTCAATAATGTAGAAAGTTTAAAATCTTATTGAAGGGAATGAGAGGTTGCATAGGGTTTAAAGGAAATATTGACAGTTTAAAATAGTTAATAAGAATGGGAGAGAGAATTCCTGTAATCAGATTTACTCTACTTACTAATAAAGTCCCAACCCCTTCTCCTGGACACAATCTGCCTTTTCAGTCTCTAGTCACTAAGCATCCTATTCTTTTTGTTGTTGTTATTTATTGCTTAAAGTATTACAAAGGGTATTACATATGTGTCAATTTTTTCCCCCTGCCCTAAACAGTCCCCTAGCCTCCCCTACCCCCCAGTGTCTTATGTCCATTGGTTATGCATATATGCATGCATACAAGTCCATAATGTAGTTTTAAATTATTTTTCTAAATGACCAGACTATTAGGAGAAAAAAAAATCACTTGTCTTTCCTATTTTCTTTTTTGTATCTACTTAGTAAAAACATACCAAGATATGAAGAATTCTTTGGACTATAACAGCTGAATTCATCACAGTGTAGAAAAAGTAATTTTATAGACAAACATATAACAAAAAATATATTATATGTATGTATCTGTGGTTTTATATCTATACATATATATTTATAAAACTTGATAATCCCTAAAACTCATGCTGCTATTATGAAATTTAAAAGTTTTTCATTTTCAAATGAGATTCATGTTTAGTAACATCCTGGTGTGCAAAGTGGATAACATCCTCGTGTGCCAGCTATGGTACAAGCTGTGGCTTTATAGCTACATGATAACGAAACAGCTTGATGAAAAGTAAAAAATCCAGCCTGTTGATGCAAGGGCTTTGGTTACATGACACAAATAAGTGATGGAAACATCTGAACCTTTAACTCTTTACTGGTCCATCCTGAAGTCACAGAGACCTGACTTCTGTAGGAAAGTAGAAAAA